AAAATACCGTAGGTTGGGTCAGGCACAAATTAGTTCTCAAACTAATATATTTGACTTTGAGCACTTTAAAGAGGTCCTCTGAAGCAGATATGTCTAATTTGTCATTTGATTTTGGGGATCCTTCTTCCAAGATTGTTGACTGAGGACCAAGCAAAATGAACTCTGACAACTTCAATCTTCTCTCCACTTATCATGATGTTACTTATTAGTCCAGTTATGAAGATATTTTTTGTTTTGTTTTCTTTACGTTGAGGTGTGATCCATACTAAAGGTTGTAGTATTTGATATTCATCAGCAAGTATTTTAAGTTCTTTTTGCTTCCGGCAAGCAAGGTTGTATCACTTGCATGTCACAGGTTGCTAATGTAGTCTTCTTCCAATCCTGATGCCAAGTTCTTCATTTAATCAGCTTCTCAGATTCTTTGCTCAGCATAAAAATGTTATACATATGGTGAAAGGATACAACTCTGGCACACACCTTTCCTAATTTTAAACCATTAAGTTTCCCCTTGTTCTGTTGGAATGATTGCCTCTTGGTCTACGTACAGATATCTGATAAGCACAATGAAATGCTCTGGAACACCTATTCTTGACAATGTTATCCATAGCTTGTCGTGATCCACACAGTTGAAAGCCTTTGCAGTCAATAAAGCACAAGTAAACACCTTTCTGGTGTTCTGTGCTTTCAGTCAAGGTCCATCTGATACCATCAATGATACCCTGAGTTCCACAACCTATTCTTAATCTGGCTGAGTTTCTGGCAGTTCTCTATGTACTGATGCAATGTTTTTTAATTCACTTCCGCAAAACTTTACTTGTAAGTGACATTAATGGTATTGCTTAATGATTTCTGCATTCCACTGAGTCACCTCTCTTTGGAATGGGCACAAATATGGATCTTTTCCAATCGGTTGGCCATGTAATTGTCTTCCAAATTTCTTGGCAGAGATAGTGAGCACCTCCAGTGCAACATCAGCTTGGTGAAAGATATCAGTTGGTATTCTGCCAATTCCTAGAACCTTGTTTTTTCCCAATGTCTTCAGGGCACCTTGAACTTCTTCCTTCAGTACTATCCGTTTTTGATCATATGTTACCTCTTGTAATGGTTGCACACTGACTATTTCTTTTTGTTACACTGACTCCGTGTATTCCTTCTTTTGATGCTTTCGGCATCATTCAATATTCTGCACATGTTGTTGTTGTTGTTAAGTGACATCAAGTCAATTCTGATTCATAACAATGCAGCACAGGGTTTCCAAAAAGCTGTTATATTGTAGGTCAAGGCATGGTTTTTTTTCTTCGGGTCTTTCAGCTTGAGAAATGCTGAGCCTGCTCTTCCCTTTTGGTTTTCTAACTCCAGATCTTTACAAATTTCATTATAATATTTGACTTTGTCTTCTTCTGATGCCCTGTTCAACAATTTGATTTCCTCAGCTCTTCCATTCGCTTTAACATCGCTATGCTGGAAAGCAAATTTCAGTCTCTCTGGCACCCAATCTCATCATCACTGGCTGTATTAGTTTGTGTGTAAATTTGAATAATAAAGGTATTAACTGGTCTTCCTTGTTCTTAAGTGCTGTCAAGTGGGTTCTGACTCACAGTGACCCTGTATAGGGTTTCTAAGGAGCAGCTGGTGGGTTTGAACTATCAACTTTGTGGTTCACAGTACAGAATTGGTCCTAAAGCGCCACACCAGGTGTATGGATATTATCCTATCACAGACAGCATTGTACTTCAAGACAGATTTTGAAATGTTCTTTTTGCCTATGAATGTGACACCACTTCTCAAAATGAGAAATAGCTATAAACATCTATTAATAATCAAAACATGGAATGTATAAAGGATTAAATAGGAAAATTGGAAGTTGTCAAAAATGAAACAAGAAGCATAAAGATCGACATCCTAAGCATCAGTGAGCTGAAATGGACTGGTGTGGGACACTGTGAAGCAGATAATCATATGGTTGACTGTGCTAGCCATGACTAACTGAAGAAGAATGCTGTCTTTTGCATTGGGTCTTTTCAAAATTTTTTTTATCTGTTTCTGTTCATTCAGATAAGGAGTGTTTCTAAAAAAATTTTTCATTTCACCTAGATTTTCCAATTTGTTGTTAAGAGCTATAAAGTTGGTTCTGACCCAATTGACAGGGCTTTTGAGGAGCGGCTAGTAGGTCTGAACCACTGACCTTGCAGTTCGAAATTCAGTGCTTATCTTACAGTGAATGCCACACCACGATTCCAGAATTTCAAATTTAATGGGGTATAATTTTTCATAGCAACCAATTATGATCTTCTTTATCTTTGTTGGATGGGTTGTAAGGCCATCAATTTTGATTCATAATGTGGTTATATGCTTCTGGTTTATTTCTTTTGTCAATCTAGCCAGTGATTAGTCTAGTTCACCGATCCTTTCAAAGAGCCTCCTTCTGGGCTGATAGATTCTGTTATTTATTTTCTAATTTATTTATATCTGCCTTGATCTTAACATTTCCTTTTTCTGATAGTCTTTGTTCTTCCTTTTGCAATTACTCAAGTTGTCAGCTAAGTTAACGATTTTGAATCTTCTTTTTTAGTGTTTGCATTTGTTGCTATGAATTTCCCTCTAGGTACTGCTTTTGCTCTAGCCCAAAGGTTTTGATATGTTGTTTTCATTTTTGTTTGATTCTAGAAATTTTTTATTTTACTTTTGATTTCTTCTATGAGCCAACAGTTTCTCTAGCAGTATATAATCTAGTTTCCAGGTCTTTTTGTTCCCTTATTTTTCAGGTTGTTGGGCTCTCACTTCATACTACTATAGTCAGAGTAGATGCTTTATATGATTTCAATTCTTTAAAATGTGTTGAGACTGATTTTGTGTCCCAGTAAATAGTCTAGTCTGGAAAGTGATCCATGTATTGTTCCAATGTTAAGAAGAGTGTTCTTGATATGTCTGTCAGGTCTAACTTACTTATGATTTTAGTAAAGTTTTACAAGCCCTTAGAGGTCTTTTTTGTAGATGTTCGGTGTATCTTTGAAAATGGTGTGTTGAAGTCTCTGACTACTGTGATGTTGTCTAGTTCTTGCTTCATATTAGTCAGTTTCATGTTTTTGGTGCATTGCTGTTGTTGTTGTTAAGTGTCATTGAGTCGGTTCTGACTCACAGGGACCCTGCATAAGGTTTCAAAGAAGCAGCTGGTGGGTTTGAACCACCAACTTCGTGGATCGATGTCCAGTGCTGATTCTACAGCACCAGCAGGAATCTGCATTACTATTAGGTACATACATAATTGCTATGCCTTCATGCTGCATTCATCCTTTTACTATTATGTAATGTCCTTTTCTATCTCTTGTTAACAGTTCTAATTTCAAGTCTACTTAATCTAATGTCTGTATGGTAACAACTGTTCTCTTGTGTTTGTAAGTTGTCAGAAATATTTTCCTCCATCATTTTCAATCTGTGTCTTTATGTCTAAGGTATGTTTCTTGTAGACAGCAAATGGATTGATATAAATTTTTATCCATTCTGCCACTCTGTCTTTTCCATGGTGTGTTCAGAAGACGTACATTCAAGGTTACCATTCAAATGGAATGCCTACCTCACTTAATTTGCTATTTGTTTTATGTTTATGGCTTATCTGTGTTTTTCTTTTTTTTTTCTTTTTAATTCTGACTTTTGTTTGCATTTGACTACTTTCTTATGAGAAGTTTTGCTTTTTCCCTGTAAATTTTTTCTTAGTAGTTTTTGGCCATTTTGTTACTTTTCTTTTTTATTATTATTATTTAAATTTTGTATTCTAGTTTTTGTGGAAAATTCTTCTCATTGGGTGTCTTGGTAGCTCAGTATCTAAGGTCCCAGCTGCCAACAATAAGCCCACGACCTGCGCACATCTGTTATTCCATGGGATAAAGATATGGAAATATGCCTGTGCAAAGATCCAAAATACTGGCCATCCTATGGAGCAGCTGCACTCCACTCGACGGGTTCTCCGAGTCACCATCAAACCAGTAGCAGTGGTCTTAGTTATCTTCTCCCATGAACCACTAGAGGGCACTCTTATCCTTAGGTTTTTGTTTTATTTTCAGTACTGAGTCAGGAGTTCTGGATGCTTGGGATGTGGAGTTCAATACCCATGTGCAGAAGTGGAGAAGGAGGAAACAGGAAGGCTATGCGGTCCTAGACTCTGATGTAAATGGTGGGGCTCAACTTCCTGATGTAGAAGGGGATGTTCTGTGTCTTTCCCTCATGAGCATCCCTTCAGAAGCTTTCCCATATTATCCCTGTAGGGGCAAGGAGCAAGCCATTTTGCCCTGTGTCTGTCCGAAGTATCCCCTCAGGCTGCTGTCCTTGCAATTCTTCAGGGTCCTACTACCTGTCTGTCCATCTTGAGCCTCAGTGAGATTCAACAGTAGTCTCTCGCAGAACCACGGTCTCTCTTCACCCTCTCCCATTTGCACAGCCTGCAAATTCGCACTACCAATGTACACCAGATTTGTTAAACTGGGTTAGTTTCCTCAATTTAGCTTCCTCCGTGTATCACATGTGGTACTGTCCAGTCCTCTTCCCAAAGGGCCATGGTGAGCGAGGGTTCCTGTGTTAGTGGGGAGGTTCTCCCAGTTTCTGTGCCAACCCTGCTCCTTTCTTCTCCACTTCTGGACTCTATCTGACTCTTCAACACCTCAGCTGCCATTCAGAGTTCTGGGGTCTTGTTTTTATTCATTGTTAGTGGGCTGGGGAGTTACTGGGGATGGATGGGTTTGTCCACTCACAATGTTTATGGAAACACACTGCCGTATCTTTCTCTCATAGAGGAGTGGTGGGTTCAAGCCACCAATCTTTCAGTTAGCAGTCAAGCACTTAACCACTGCACACCTGGGCTTCTTTCTACTCTTTGGTACCCTTGGTTTAATTGATAAAGATCTTTTCTGTATGTTATTAAAATACATTGGATAACAACAAATACTCAAAAACATTGGCTTTTTGCACAAATTATACCTTGCATATTATTTAAACTGTATACTTACTACATCAAACTTCTGAGTGATGTTCCCCTGGACATCCAGTAAATAAACTTTGCCGCAATGTGTACCCAATGCCAAAAACTGTAAGAAAAAGGGACCAGAAAATTAATAGAGCATGAGTGGATAATTACTACAAAAACCAGTCTCAATGTGTCATAATGCTTAATGTGTGGATGATTTGCAGTGTCTCAGAAGATGTTCACTCCTTGCAGGAGACTTGTTTCCGACGTCACAGAAATAACAGAACAGGGCCAGAGCCTATTTTATTATGATAGTGCACAGTGGCTGTCAGAGTGAGTCATGGACGCTCTCCTCTACTGAGGACTGATGGTGGGGAAGCAGTCTGACATAACGCCGGACCAACTGAGGCAGTAAATTAAAACTGCAGCTGTAAGAGCGTCACCAGCCCACAGTTGAACTCCAAGTCAGAAGGGAACGATTGAGAAACTCCCCCTAATTTATGGCAAATGTGTAAATCTGCGCTATCGTTTATTGAACGCATACAAACACAAACATCAAAATACCCTTTTATAGAATGAAAAATTCCATGGCGCACTGAGGAATGAAAAATCTGAGACATAACTCAGTTACCTTTCAAATGCTTTGAGAAAAGTAAATTTATAATGATAGTGTAGACAAATGTGGACATACGAGGGAGGCTTCAAAAAGTTCGTGGAAAAATTCCATTCTCTTTTGGTGTCATTTTTCCATGACCTTTTTGAAGTCCCTTCACACTAATGCAAAAAAAAAACAAAACAACTTTTTTTTGCCCCCTGCTCTGGTAGCGTAGTGGTTACGAATAGGGCTGCTAACCTGAAGGTCGGCAGTTTGAAACTACCAGCTAGCTGTTCCACGGGAGAAAGATGAGGCGTTCTGCTCCCGTAAAGACTTACAGCCTTGGAAACCCTATGCAGGGTCACTTTGAGTTGGAACCGACTCCACGGTACTCAACAACAACAACAACCACAAAATAACTGCTGAGCTGTGTATTTGTCTTCTATTATACAATAGGTTCATAACTCGCACTGTTTCTTTAATTCTTTGCACTAGTCCTAAATAAGTCATAAACTTTTGGACGGCCTGGAATGCAACATGAGAGTTTTCTTCTTTTTCGAAGCTAAAGCATTACTCAAATAGTCCCTGAGTCTCTGTATTTCACTGCATGCAAGCATGCTTCATTGCAACCTATAATGCAATGCTCAAATTTGCAGTCGCCGCTAAGTGTTTCTGTCAAGTAGCACAACCTTTAAAAAATAACCTTACAGAAAGCCAAGATTTAAAAGGATTTACCAAAATGGGATTGCTTAAAATGAAATTTCAGTGCAGGCACTTAAAATATGTAGCCACTTTAAAGAGGAGTCACAAAAAGGGAAAAGAAGGGGTTCATTAGAAATTCATCCCCTATAATGCCTTTCACTCCTGCAAGGTTGCCTTTTTTCAGGAAGAAAAAAGTCCCCCGGGTAAAAAATCAATACTGGTTAATAAAACATCAGGTGTGCAGACATAACTGGGTATGACGATTCTGCTGCCCAGGCCTGCTTGAGCACACCAGGTGCCATGACGATTAGTCATCCAAGGCAGACAGCAAAGCAGGAGGGTGCAGCCCTGGGAACGCAGGAGAGGGAAAGAGGTAATTCTGGGGGGAAATTAGTCTGCATATTTAAACCAAACAGGGATGGTTCCCCCAAAACAACAACAAAAACTAGGTATTCTAATCAGAAATAGAAGACTCAATTGGCTATAATCCTCTCCACAGTGACACTCTGGCAATATTTAAAGGGAAGAGTACCACTTAATATTAAAAAGCAAACAATGCTCTACTGCATTCTGAGGTTATCGTTGGTTAAAGAAGAGGTCTTAAAAGCTGGCAGCACCCCCACGTATCAGATGATATTGATTCTCCTCATAAATACTGTATTTAGTTTGTTAGCAAACTAAGGGAGCATGGATTCTTAAAATGTCTTTAACACTGTGTCATTTTCCAACATCTCTGGAAAGGCCATTTTTGAACTTACATTTAATAGAAGTTTTCAAGGTTCTATGCAGGGAACTTTATACAAACTAACAGTCCATTTCCTTTTATTCACTTATTTATTTAGGTCCAAATGATTACTTTTCTTCATTTAATATTTAAGATAGATTGTTGTTGTTGTTGTGCCATCGAGTTGGTTCCGACCCATAGTGACCCTGTACAGGGTTTCCGAGGGTGTAGAAAGCCTCATCGTTCTCCTGCGGAGCGGCTGGTAGTTTCGAACTGCTGACCTTAAGGTTCGCAGCCAGATTCGTAACCACTACGCTACCAGAGTTAAAAACAATGTTTTACCTAAAAACTATCATTAATTTAGAAGAGTTTTTAAAGATTTTTTTTTTTTTAATGAGAAGCTGTATGTTGTTTGGGAAAAAATGTTATCTTTTAGGTAAGAAATTATTGCTGCTATATCTTATAAATAAAAAGCATTATATGCTCTTCAAAAAAGATCTTAGTTTGTAAGATTTATTTAACTACGAATATTATGAATGAGTCATACTTTCCACTTTCATTTACAAGTTCTGTGACAATTTAAAAATAATTTTTTTTAAGTCATAAATATGTGAGCATAAATGCAAAGTCCTTTCCCAATTTAGCTCTACTTTCAGTCCTTAAAAGCCGTGAGCTTTTGTAACCTGGATTCTTTTTAAGCTTGAATGCATTTTAAATCCAAAATGTCAAAAAAATTACGGACAACTTAATAAGTCCCGTTCATGTTTGGTTATGAAAACTTGACTCATTTTATAAACTATAAGATTGTTGTTGGTGTTAGGTGCCATCGAGTCGGTACTGAGTCATTGCGACCTTAGGCACAGCGGAAGGAAACACTGCCCGATCCTGGGCCAACCTCATGATAAGATTAGATATACATCAATCCCTCTGGACAATTCACTGTTGTTGCTGTTAAGTGCCGTCGAGCCAGTTCTGATCATTGCGACCGTGTATAGGGTTTCTGAGGAGTGGCTGGTGAGCTTGAACTACCGACCTTTAGGTTCAAACAGACCCTGCAGTCCAGCGCATTAACCTACAGCACCACACCAAGCCTCAGATGATTCACTAGCACAGCTGATTTTATTTGAATGACTTACTTTGTGTAAGCAAACAAGACGTGGTAATAAGCAATCGTATACATACCACAAAAGAAACCAAAAGTAGCAGCTTTAAAATTTATTCAACAAGATAATATCCATCTTTCACATGCATAGCATTCAAACATTAGAAAAGGGAAGTCTTCAATTACACATGAAGAAGTTCCAAGAGTTGATACTATTTTCGTGGATAGTCAGTGAGTGGCAGAGCCAGGGCCAGAATTAAGAGCCAAAATACTCTCAAAGCTGGATTGCAATTAAATAAAAAGCTGGGCCTCAGATTCCGAGTGAAGAGTCTACAAATTACCAATAATTATCACTCCCAGCCAAGGAGCTCTGGTAGTGTAATGGTTACGAATCAGACTGCTAACCTCAAGGTTGGCAGTTCGAAACTACCAGCTGTTCCACGGGAGAAAGATGAGGCATTCTGCTCCCGTAAAGATTTACAGCCTCAGAAACCCTGTGCAGGGTCGCTATGAGTCGGAACCGACTTCGTGGTACTTAACAACAGTTCCCAGCCAGCATGGTTTAAGTACAGAGTTAATGACTGTTCTCCAGCAGGCCAACATTGCTCTCCCTTCTAATCTTACAACTTTCCTAACACGACACTTAACAATTCAAAGAGTAATTGATAGTTTTCCAAAAACCACATATATTATAAATCTCACCTCTAACACTGTCTAAATTCCACATAGTATGGATATTATACTTATCATACCCCCAGGTGTGTTCTGAGTGTGTGTGTGTTGGGGTGGGGGAGTATGCAAACATATTTTTGGTTATTATTATTACTTTTTTTTTTTTTTGCTTGTGAAGAACAGAGGAGGAGAGGGAAGCAGAAGCCAAAACCACTGTTTAAAAACAAAAAAACACACAAAACCCCACCACCAAAAGCATCAGATCTCTGAAGTATAAACAAACTCCAAATAGAAATCACTTACAAAGGCGTCGTCTCACAGTGCTACTTTACCTTGTCATGGACTGTCATGCAGCTAGCCGCATCCTGCTGAAGAATTTCCGTTACGCCATTGGAAAGCCTTTCATACTTCAGTTTGGGTTCCTCTTCACTTTCTTCTTCCTGCACAAAATGCAAAGAAAATGAAGGGCCTCGCACATGTACTTAAAGTAGCCAGAGATTCAAATGCAACTCTCGCGGGGGAACCGGAGATGGTTCCCTCAATGATCTTTCTATTGACCACCAGCTGCCATGAGTCATAACCAACTCCACAGCAGCTAACGTTACAACATGGCTGAAAGTGAAGGCCTTTAGGTTTTGTTTTGCCAACTGAGTATGCCACCTGTTACAACTTCACTGATAGAAGAAATTGAAAAGGGGAGTTGTTGTTAAGTGCCGTCGAGTCGGTTCCGACCCATAGCAACCCTGAAAGGGTTTCTGAGGCTGTAAATCTTTACGGGAGCAGAAAACCTCATCTTTCTCCTGTGAAGCAGCTGGTAGTATTGAAAAGCAGCTGATCTTGCGGTTCGCAGCCCGATTTGTAACAACTACACTACCAGAGCTCCTTGAAAAGGGGAGTATATGTACCACAAAAATGATACACTGTGTTATCTTAAGAGTAAATGCTAAATTGTCTGACCTACTGTGCAGACATACATATGCTATTTAAAAGGTATGGGCAAAGTACTTGTCACTGTGACCTTGTGAACATATATATACACTCAGCAATGTTTCAGAAATACAACGAACTTCCAAAAAAAATTAATAAATTGTCTATTTCAAGATTAGAAATATTTCTGTAAGATTTTAGAAAATCTAAGTTGAACTTTCATTTTACTTATTATTGTTAAGTGCCATCAAGTTGCTTCCCACTCATAGTAACCCTATATAGGGTTTCCAAGGAGCAGCTGGTGAGTTTGAACCACTGACTTTGTGGTCAAGCTGACCTTGCGGCCCAGTTCTTTATCCCACAGCCCCACACCGAAAACTACTGGAGCCTCCACAATTTTTTCACACACAACACCAATGCAGCTTACCCTTGGACAATGCAGGGGGGTTCAGGGCGCCAACCTCCCACACAGTAGAAAAGTTGCATACGATTTATGTGGGTCCTTAAACAACACGGGCAGTTGTGCAGGCCCACTGATACGTGAATTTTTCCCCCCTGTTGCTATGACAGTTCGCTCAAGTGTTGCGTATTTGCTTAAAACGCTGTGTGACGCTAATCATCTCGCTTGAGTAGTTCATCTCTCCAGTTAGGGAGATGGAAGGGTAAGAGGCTAGCACTTACGGGTGACACTAACTGCTCGCTTGGACACGATTCACGTCACAAGGCATTTTAAGCAGATGTTAGCAACATTTAAGCTTACTGTCATAGCAACAGGAAAATAAATCCACTTATCTGTAGGCCTCTGCAGGAATTCAATAAAAAATTATCAAGCACACCATGAGATAGGATCTAATGACGAAAAACAAGAAAAGAAGGAAAACCATGCATGCACACACACACAATCATATGATAAAAACAGACCAATGGGTGAGCCACAGACTGGAGAATGGAGAACTTTCCACCAATAACTATGACGAGTATGTTCAATAAAACAGAGGAAAACATAAATGAAAAGATGCATATTCAACAGAAAACTGGAATCTGTCACACAGAAAAAAAACACGAAAACCAGAACACTGAAATTAAAAACTGAAATAGATGGTTTAACAGAAGATGAACAAAGCACAACAAGACAAGGCTGTGATTGAGAGCCACTGAGTCAACCCTAACGCCCCACAGGGCTTCCTAAGGCTCTCATCTTTCCAGGAGCACATCACCAGGTCTTAGGGGAATAAAACATAGGTCAGCAGAAACTATCCAAAGGAAAGTGTACATATCCGGAGTGGAAATATAGGTGGAAGACCATGAACAGGGCTAAACATACCTTGTATTAGATTCCCAGAAAGATAAGGGAAAAGAGGGGTAAGGGAGCTAAAAGCAACATTTAATCTAGTATAGGCAGTCTCATACTTCAGACATATTATCAGGAGGGACCAGTCCCTAGAGAAGGACATCATGCTTGGTAAAGTTGAGTGTTAGAGAAAAAGAGGGAGACCCCCAAGGAGAGGGATGGGTGCTAAGGCTGCAGCAATGGGCTCAAATGTAGCAACCATTGTGAAGTGAGTGCAGGACTGGGCAGTGTTTCGTTCTGTTGTGCATAAGTCCACTATGAGTGGAACCAACTCGACAACATAAAACAACAGGCAGTCTCCAGGTTGTGAACATCTGACACAGAAACAACTACTTGCCTTCTGTGTTAATAAATTTGCCCTCACTTTGAAGCAATTGAACCAATCCCTACTAACAACACGTGTTCCTAAGGGTCACCTTCACTTGTGGCTCTTGAGGTTTTTAAGTCATTGAAAAGGTTTCAAGTCTTTTCTTGCACTGAAACTAAAATGCCAAACCTATTAGTATCTAGTCAATTTCAACTCATAGTAACCCTACAGGACACAGCATAACTGCCCCAGGAATTTCCGAGGCTGTAAAATCTTTGAGACCAGACAACCTCAACTTTCACTCACACGACAGCTGTTGGGTTCAAGCCACTAGCCAACATTTAACCCCAAAGTAAGGCTAAATAAAAACCATAGGCACCTGATTCAACTTACCTACAAATTCTTGAAGACACCAGTTAGGAAGGGTTGTCATAAGTGAACCTGAGGCTGCTTGTAACTGAAAATTGTCCCATACTAATAAGACATCAGCCTACAGATTCAAGACACTATAACCTAAACAACATAAAGAAAATTACATGTAGGCACATCACAGTACAACTAAAACAAGGTTTAAAAACTGAGCTTATTGAAGAGTATAGACTAATAAGACGCCAGACAGAGAAGCAAACTTAAGTATAGCTCTGGGGCAAACTAATGCATTTTCACATGGAAAGGGACCAATTTACAGACAGATGGAGAGGATGAGAAAGACAGATATATCACATATCATGCTTTGTGTGAGTGTGCTATTGAGGTGATTTCAACTCATAGCAACTCTGTATAGGGTTTCCAAGTATAAATCTTTACTGGAGGAGAAAGCCTCATCTTTCTCCCAAGGGACAGGTGGTGGATTCAAAAGGCTGGCCTTGCAGTTATCAGTCCAACACAAAACCCCCACTATGCCACTAGAATCCAAACATCCTGCTAGGGCTTTAAGTCATGTGTTTCATACCAACTTAATACAAACAAAAAACAGGTTGTTAACTATAATGGTCTCATTTTACGAATGTAAAAATTAGAGGATCAAAAATTTTTAAGTATTTCCTTAGGAAGCACAGTGAGTAGAAGACAAAGTCAAATGAATGTGCTAATGTCAGTGCCTTGTATAAAGGAACTTCAGAGAAGTTTTTAGAAAAATGGAATTCAAACATAATGGAATTCTTGATACCCATTGACCTTAAGATGAGAGAAGGAAGAAGTAGTTTAGGGAGCTGTTTGAAGTCCTGAGTCGATGATGGGCATCAACCTAGCCCCTGGGCATTAGGGCCAGCTGGTCTGAAGTGCAGGGAGGTGTAAGTAAAACTCCCAAACTTGCAGCTGATATCCATTTGTCCTAGCTTGGACAGAACTCGACTACATGAATATAAAGATGTTTGATACTATTAGCAAGTGTAAATTGTTCAATTTGATGAACTGGACTTCTGCTTATGGATGCAGTTGCTCAAAATTCTAAGTGAATGGAAGGATTCTTCAAATCAAGGAACAAGCTTGTTTCCTCTGTACTGAGATGATTGTTGTTGTTGTTGTTAGGTGCCATCGAGTTGGTTCCAACCCATAGTGACCCTGTATAGGGTTTCTGAGGTACAGCTGATGAGCATGAACCATCAACCTTGAAGTTCAAACGGCTTTGAAGCACCACACCAGGACTCCACTGAGAGGACAGGGGCATGATATTGTTATTGTTGTTAGGTGCCATCGAGTCGGTTCCGACCCATAGCGACCCTGAACAGGGTTTCTGAAGCTGTAAATCTTTACAGGAGCAGAAAGCTTCATCTTTCTCCCATGGAGCAGCTGGTAGTTTCGAACTGCTGACTTTGCGGTGCCCAGCCTGATTCATAACCACTACGCTAGCAGAGCTCCTTAGGGGCAGGCTAGGGATGGGACACTTAGATATTGGCCATCAAAAATGGGGGTACTACAAAGGCATGAAAGGAGCTCTGGTAGCGTAGTGGTTATGAATCGGGCTGCTAACCCCAAGGTCAGCAGTTCAAAACTATCAGCTGTTCCATGGGAGAAAGATGAGCCTTTCTGCTCCCATAAAGATTTATAGCCTCAGAAACCCTATACAGGGTCGCTATGAGTCAGAACCGACTCCATGGTACTTAACAACAACACAAAGGTATGAAGTGGCCAGCTTACAAATTTTCATGAATGTGCTTAATTTCCGAATGAGGGGGACAGGGCAGAATCCCCAGTGAATAGTTTAGCTCTTTACCAAATGGTTCTGGTGAAAGGGAATGAGGGATGATGCGGATAGGATTTTATGATTCAATTGCGAGTAACTGCTAGCAGAATTCATTACAATGGTCACAGCTGTAATTGTAGAAGATGTGTAACTAAAAGGGGGGAGTAGTTAATCTTTCATTTCAGGAATAGTTAATCCCAGGACCATCAATGAGGAAGAGCATGAGTGGAGTGTGAGGTCCTACCTAGAGAAGTGACAGCAGGGCCAGTGGCAGAGGCGGTGGCACAGAGACAGCGCAGCAGCTGGGGACTTCTGGGAGGCCCATGGACTGAGTAAGACTGTGTGCCTGTGGGCAAAGGATTGGCTTACAGAATGTAACCTTTGGACATTTAAATGAGTATGTATTTTTTACTTTGTATGTGTACATCAAACATTTTTATTTTGTTCACTTGTGAAATATAAGATGTAAATGGAGACCCAGAGGAAGGAGGGAGGAGAACTGTTGCGGGGAGGGGACTGTAATCACTGAGAGCAAACAAAGTGCAGGATTTGTTGAATGTACAGCTGGTAATCTTGTCTGTAAACCTTCACTCAATCCACAATAAAAAGCTTTCTAAAAAAATGGAATTTACCCATAAACTCTGTGAAGTCCTCTCATGTCATACACAAC